AATTGTTGTGTTTGAGGGCATAATGTGCTTTGCTACCTTGATGCGTCAACAATTCTGCCTCTTTTTGCTGCAACGCCTCTGTTGGAATGCGCATGGGCAACCACACCTGCAAGTTTGCAATAGTTTTTGAATCATGCGCGTGAACATTTCCAGGTTCAGAACTTCAGACGCGTTCTGAGAATTTCTGACAGAGGCATTGGAGCAAATAATCAGAAGAATGGAGCGCAGCCATCGGGCCAAAAAACTGTTGATACGGTCTTGATTCTCTTGAACCAAGGCTGAAGCTCCGGCCCAGGGAACGGATCAGGAATGGTTCCCCGCTACACAAATGTGTATCGTCAATATTCTGGTGCAGTTTCACTTGCTCTGGCAATTTCTGTTTCAGAATCACGAACCGCTTTCCTTGACGTCATCAAATTCATTATTTCAACATTTTGAAATTTGGAACTTTTTATGTATCTCAGAAAATGTTTTTCAACTTTTTCTCTTAGAATTCATATTTCTTACGCAGGTTCAAGTTCAATGAACCCACTCCTGTATTAGCGCACAATTTCCTTTTTTTCTTTTTATTATTATTATTATTATCTCATATCTTAAGGGAAAAAGCGGTCCGCGCGTGACGCTCCCACCGGGTCCGAGAAAATCGGGCAGGGAGTTCCACGCGGGGTGCCGCAGGGGACCGAGGAGGACAATGGGGGTGTCGCGCGGGAGTCTTGGGGCGCGTCGGTTCGTGGGGCAAACAAGCAGAGGCCCGGGGCGGACACTTGCGGGGCGAGGGAGGGTCTGGGCCGGCACCGAGAATCGAACCACGCAGACTGCCGGCGGGCGAGGGGGCGAAGCGTTGCGGGAATGCTGCCGGACGCGGCCTGCGGGAAAAGGAAGGCCGGGCCGTGGGAGGGGGCAGAGGGGTTCAAAGTGACACACGGTGGGCGCCGGGGAGGGAGGGAGGGGGAGACAGAGAGAGAGAGAGAGAGAGAGAGAGAGAGAGAGAGAGAGAGAGAGAGAGAGAGAGAGAGAGAGAGAGAGAGAGAGAGAGAGACGAAGTGACAGGCGGGCTGCTCACGTGAGCATCGGGGGCTTGCAGGCGAGGGGGCAAAGCGACGGTGTGAAAGGGAGGACACTCCACACGCGACACCACACGGACGCTGGCAATTCCCGCGCACTTCGCTCCAAGTAGCACATGACCCCCATCGGTACAGATATCAGCACGTAGACTAGAAATTAGACAAAGGTAGAGAAGAACAGAAGAGGAGGCAAAAAGCCTGCAATAGTCATCGATGAGTACAAATTCCACGGTTTTTCCACCCTCCTTTAACCCCCAGTCTACTTCCTCTCTGCTCGCCACCCCGTTGTCCCCAACCTAACCCTCTGTAGACGATGAGCCCAGCGTTTCTTCCAGCAGCAACTGGCCGATACACCAACCAACCCTCCAGCGCAATGTCGACTGGCGCTATGGAGGTTGATGCCCTAACCAGCATCACGGCCCTTCCGAAACAGAGCGCCGTCTCACCAGCAAGCAATCGCCATCAAGACAGGTAAGCCTCTCTCTCTCTCTCTCTCTCTCTCTCTCTCTCTCTCTCTCTCTCTCTCTCTCTCTCTCTCTCTCTCGCCCCCCCCCCTCCCCCTGGATCGCACACTCCCAGAAAAGAAAAAAAACCCTGCAAGATAGGTAAGGTGGGTCCAAGAAAGGCCCGAGAACTAAAAATTATAATAGGAAAAATTGCTCTGGATTTTTTGGCTCACCCAGGTACCCGGGGCGCTTACTCCGCCGGGCAGTGCTGCCCGGGTCGCCCGGTTGGGCATGTCCTGCCAGGCGACCCTGGTAAACACAGATTCAAGCAAGCAGCACTTGGTATTGGAAGAGCTTCCGAGTATCACGTTTATATTGAAATAAAATTATCGACTTTCTTTTTCTTTCTTTTTTCTGTCTTTGACTCTTTTCTTTTGTTCTCCCCTTTCTTTTTTCTCTCCCTGTTTTGCTTTTTCCTTTTTCTTTTTCTTTTTCTTTTTCTTTTTCTTTTTCTTTTTCTTTTTCTTTTTCTGTTTCTTTTTCTGTTTTCCTTTTCCCTGTTTGTGTTTTTGAAGTTTTTCCAACGTTTTCCGTTTGTCGCCGCGTCTGGACAGATATTGCCCAACAAGACAGTATGGTTAACCAACCTAATGCGAACTATCGTGGAGGTGGTGACTGCGGAGAAGGCCGCAAAGTACACCATTGATGAGCGGATGATCAAGGGAACTGATGGGAACTGGTGGCACAAATTGATAACAGTCCCTTTGTTCTTGTTTCAGGTACGATGGTTCTGCATGGGTCCTGGGGACCATCTCACGCAAGTGTGTACATGCCATGCATCGTACTCCCACACACAATGAACAGTAGTCTGACAATAGACAAAG